CTGCCGCTACAAGCCCGGCAGGGTCCGAGTCCTGCCTGTCTGCTCCGCTGCTCTGGTTGGACTCTACCCCCATGCGAAGCTGGCAAGCGCATCCGGCAGCGGCAGGCTTTGTGCAGTCCGTGTCCTGGACCTAGCTTGACCTTTAAACGGTGAAGTCATCTCTTACGAGAGCACAAACACATGCATGCCCTGGTGTCTCCTGAGCGCTGGCTTGTTTTAGCCTTCCTCTCGCTCCAAAGCAAGGCAGCAGCTCGCTGTGCTCCAGAGCCCCTCCTAGGGCTGACGCTCGGCGCTGGGAGCGCCCGCGGCCACGCAACTGTGGTTAACCGAGTCCTAAGGGGGAGGGTGGTAATCGCAATGGAAAGACGGATGGACTTGTGCCTCTGTAACGGGGCTGAGCTTATTTTGGGGCCCTTTTCTTTCTTTCTGACCTTTTTTTCTTCAGCGGCATGCCTGGGAGGGAAGCACATGCTTCTTTAAGTGACTAGCTAGTGGAGAGGCTAAAAATAAGGCCAAGAGTGAAGTTTCCTCCTCCCCTCGCACAGGGTCCGCTTTGTGCGTCTCTCCGTGCTCCAGTTTCCTCCCAGACAGCGAGAGCAAGGCCTGGAGGAGGCAGCTGGGCGGCAGCTGAGCACTGACCAACTGGTCAGGCCCTTCGCTATGGGGCTGTGACGGTCCCTGGCGGCGAGCGTGGCTTTTGCGCCTGGGTGAGCAGGGCAAGAAGGAGGCAGAGGAAAGGGTGTGCGCTGGAGCGGGGAGGAGAGGTGCTACCATGGAGCCCAGCAGCCAAGGGGTTAACCTCCCACTGCCTGGAGTGCAGGGGATTTTGGGACAGCTGGGGCAGATAAGGGAGTCACCCTTAATGCCCTATAAAAGGGATTTGCTGGGAGGGAGCTGAACATGCTGGGCTAGAGCTGCTCCTGCTCCTGCTCCTGCTCCTGCTCCTGCTCCTGCTCCTGCTCCTGCTCCTGCTCCTGCTCCTGCTCCTGCTCCTGATTGCTAGCTTGAGGGCTTGTGGCTGGGGGCATAAATGAGAGCTGTGCAGGGAGGTGGCAGACGTGCAGGCCCTGGGGCTGCCTCCCTGCCTGGCAGCGGTGGATGGGGGCCCCTGAGCTTTGCTGGGCACCCTCAGCCTCTCCCCCCCCCACCT